AAGAAAACAAATAACCAAATTTTAAAAATGGGATACAGATTTCAAAATTCTCAAAAGAGAAAACTCTAATGGCTGAGAAACAAAGAAATGTTAAACATTCTTGGTCATCAGGGAAATGCAAATCCAAACTACTTGGAGATTTCATCCTATACCAGTCAGAATGGCAATGACCAAACAAGTAAAGTCCATGCTGGCAAGGATGTGGAATAAGGCTAACACTCCAACATTACTGGTAGAAGTGCAAACTTGCTAAGCCACTGTGGAAATCAGTGTGGTGGTTCCTCAAGAAGATGGGAATTTATTTACTTAAGATCCAGCTATACCACTCTTAGGTATATACCCAAGGGATGCTTCACTCTACTACAGAGACACCTGTTCAACCATGTTAATTATTGTTCTATTTATAATAACTAGACATTATAAACAACTTAGATGTCTGTCAATGAGTGAATTCATAAAGAAAATATGGTGCATTTGCACACTGGAATATCACTCTACCATCAAAAAATTGAAATCATGGAATTTGCAGACATATGGATGGAATTAGAAAAAAAAATCATCCTGAATGAGGTATTCCAGATACAGAAAGATAAATATGGCATATATTTGCTTACATGTAGACACTAACTGGTAAGTCAATGATAAACAATCCACAGCCTGTAGAATTATAGAGGTTAGGCTTAAAGTAAGGGTCTGGTGTCAGGGTGGGGGGAACAGACTGATCTTTCTAGAAAAGGGGAATAGAATAGTTATGGAAGGATGGAGGATTTGGAATAGAAGGATCAAGTTGGGAGCGTGAGGGAAGAAGAGAAGGAGGGAGGGAATATGAGGAAAGACTGTTAATATTAAGGGCCATTTATGGTAGTATGGAAACCTCATACAATAGCTTCTACTATATTAGGTTCCTACATAGGCATATAAAGCATATATATATATATATATATATATATATATATATATATATATGAAATCATTAATAATGGGGGAGACAGAGCCCCCAACTTGACATCACTTGTCACTAGGTGGAGCTTCCAGTCCAAGGAATGGATTATGTCTAATTGACTTGTTGGTCAAAGGGATCCCATGGAAATCCCCAAACAGCTATGCTGTTGCCAAGACTGGTTGCTCTCCAAAAGCTAACAGCAAGGCCCTGTTGATGAAGACAACACTAACATAATTCATTGAACATGGAAAAGTTGATCTGATGCCTACATAGAGCCTTAACCTGTATGTGCCAGAATCTTGGGTTCAGGTAAGAACTCAGTATACTATCAAAGGAGAAATGTAACAGCAACCCAACTACAGATCCTTGAGTCTATAATGGTGTCCTTCCTAAAATATATTCTAGCACAATAGTGGCACAAACTTGTGGGAGTGACCAATAAATATCTGATTTGACCAAAAGCCCACCATGAGATGGAACTTATGTTCTACCCTGCATGGGTGACTAAGAACCTGAGATTGGATACCCCAGACACCCAGGATAAACCCAAACCTACTGTTCTACTAAAAGAATGTAGCAATAAAATTAGTGCTTACTGATACTTTGTCATAGTCATAGATTAGTGTCTTGCTCAGCCATCACCATAGAAGCTTCCTCCTGTGGCAAATGGGAACAAATACGGAGGAGACACTTAACCCAGACAAGTGTGCAGAAAGTGAGAGACCTTGGAATACTCATCCCTAAATGGAATGGCTCTATCATTCTCTCTTCTCATGGCTCAGGGAACCCCGTGGAAGAAGAGGCAGAAAGAGTGTAACAGCCAGAGGTGATGGAGGACACCGAGGAAACAAGGATCTCTAAACCAATGGGATCTATGGACTATGAACTCATAGAGACTGAGGCAGCATGCAGAGGACCTGCACTAGTCTGCACCAGATGGAGTCCTAGAGGTGAAAGGAGAAGTGGACATATGCTCCCATCCTTAACCAAGAAGGGATATCTAATTGAAAACTACACCTGTAAAGAAATATTTATCTTTTTACAGAGGCGTCTCCCTGGAGAAACAAAGCTACTCTTAAGGACAGACCACACGCCCAGTCGTAGATGGCCAACAGAAAACGAACTCAATGGTTCCTTGTTGTGTCAGAGCTTATTCCTTGTTTTTCCTTTCTCTTTTTTTCCTTATTCTTATTTTATTTTGTTTATGTATCTTGTTATTTTTTCTCCTTTTTGACCCTGTGTGTAATTTCTGTTTTGTGTTCTGTTTTGTGTTTTCATGGGATCCTTGAGTGTGGAAATGAGTGGCTCTCTGTGTATCTGTTTTGTTGCCTTTTCTTGGGCTCTTTTCCTTCTGCTTGTTTTGATCTCTTTTAATGTGTTAGTTTTTATTTCATTTTTCTCCCTTAGAAACTTGTTGATTTTTTTTGTTTGTTTGTTTCTTAAAAAATTTTTTTTTGAGGCAGGGTGTGGGGAGGGAGGTCAGGAGGAAGTGGGAGGAGTTGAGGGAGGAGAAACTGTGATCAGTACGTGTGTGTGTGTGTGTGTGTGTGTGTGTGTGTGTGTGTGTGTGTGTGTAAAAATTTCTCGAAAAGGAACAAAAGTTCCTCCTGGCATTTCTGCCAGAATCTTCTATTCTGTAGACTGAAATAATTTGGGTTTAAAAACAATATACCTCTTCAAAATTTTTTAATTTTTAAACCATTTTAAGAAGAGACAAAAACTAGTTTTCTCTCACTTTTGTTGAGATTTTGGTGTTTGGAAGAAATGAAGACTGGATTCTGATTGGTGCCGGCAGCCATTCCCCAGAAGGAGCGCAGAGCACAGAGGGGAATCCCGCTAAATTGAAAAACTGCCTCATGGCCTTCCTAGGCTTCTGCTCTTCCTGGATGGCCCAGTGCCTTTGTGCAAGGCAGCACTCTTATGTGGGACAGCCACACAGAGTTCTCAACCATCAGTCTACCTTGCTGGCTTGCCTGGTTCAGCAGGTAGACCATCCCAGTGGGTATAGCATCCCCGTGGGCAGAGCGTCCCAGACTCCTTCCTTGACAGTGGGGCTGTGCTGTCAGACTTGGCTTCCATCCTCTTTACCGTAACTTCTTTAACATGATGTTAACTGATACTAACTGCTGTGGATGAATAGATGTGGATTTTGTGTTCTTGAGGCCTTCATGCTCTGACTTCCTGTACCTCTGTATCTCCTGGACAGGGGGTAAGACAGGAGTGGAGGGGAAAGTCTTACCTGGGGGATGTAGGATAAGAAAAGGGAGAGTTCATTGCGACAGTCGAAGGAGGCAGAAGGAGAGAGCAGCGGTGCTGCCCTGGTCAGCGGGACCATGTTTGCTGCACTTGTGAGATGACAGTTTTCCAAAACCAAGTGAGTTCTCACATTGCTCATGCCGCTTGCCCCATAGAATGCCCCTTACTGATTTAAACTCTACATCTCCTGGCAGTTGGTTTACTATGTCTATTTTTCCTGGCCTCTTAACCAGCCAGGACCAGTACTGGTCAGAAAGAGGAAAGATAAGATGCCCCTTTTAATAAGATGCAGATAACTCTAACCTGGAAGATGATACTCCCCCATTCCAGAGCAGAATATAAAATTTTAAAAACGTTAAGTTCAAGATGAGGGTCATAAAAAGGAAAAGGAACAAATACTTTTTTTTTTTCTAGATGAAAACTAAAACATGAATTGCAAGGACAGGAAATCAGGTGTTGCATTTTGCTCCCATTCATGGTTAAGTTATAGACTAGTAAATGCTAATTCTTTCAAAAGCCAACATTATGGAGGACAAATATAAAATGTCTTTAAGCCTCTTCTGGGCCAGATGGTATGAAAAATGAGAGAGGTGAACTTGTTCCTGGTGACAGGGACACCATGGGGTAAGGGGAAGGAATTTGAATGTTGTTTTTAATGACTATAATATGTTTTAGAGACTAACCAATACAACTTCATTTACTGTGTTTGCTAAAACAGAAGGCAGATTTACCTGTCAAAGAAAGAATGATGTTCTATTTCTCCAAGTCACAAGATCCTGTGGTCAAGACCACAGAAGCTCAGTCATCAAGTTACCAATTGGGACTTATGGGATTGTGTGAGGGCAGGTTACCTAGCCTGTGTTTCAGTTGTTTAATATGTACAGTGATGATTTGTAGGGATTAAGTCTGTGAAAGTTCAAAATATTATGTGTTGAAAGTGCTAAAATGCAGAAAGTATCAAAAATGTTGTTCTTGAACTTAGGGTTTTAAACAATTGAGGTTAGGTTTGTGATAGAGTAAGTGTGTAGTGGGTAGCCTTTCCAGCTTTGATCTGGAAGTTCCAATCCCCACTGAGGCTTCGGTAACTGTCACGCCTACAAGGCCGGCCTGAGAGAGGACCCTGAAGACGTGAGATCCAGATGGGCCGGCTCTCTTGGTTCCTGGACCCAGGACACTGAAGGTAGACCAAGCAGAGTTCTCCAGAGAACACCGCTGGACTGCGCTACACCTTTCCCAGACCCTGTAAACTATCCCTTCACTTGTAAGTTACCCCACAAAATAAACCTTCCTTTTAACTACGTGGAGTGGCCTTAATAGTTTCAATAATAGTAAGTGTATATCTAGGAATTTGTTTACTCTAGGGCAGAAATTGCACAGAGCGATCTACCTGTTTATAGCAAAGTCTAAGAAAACTTAACCCTTATTAAAATTAATGATTTTACTTTCTCATAATTATCCAGTCAAGAAATTATGTATATTTGGAAGTAAGATATCTGAAGTCCAATCACCTGCCTGAAAAAAATTTTTTGAGAATTTGTTCATAGCTACCTTGAATCCATAATCTTAAATATCCAGCATTTACAGAAGCCAAGAAATATTGGTTTGACTTCCCAAATCATTTTAAGGTGAGGCATGTACAACCCATTTCATACCAAATGAATCATCCAATGCAGATATGTGTATCACTGTTGTTTAGACATAGCAGTGATCTGTTTTAAATGCTGTTATTATATACAAGGCTATATATTTATTTAATATTCTGTAAAGGAAGCTCAAATTATAGTTTGCCCTCAAGGAGGACAATGACAGTGTTCAAAGAGAATATTGTCTGAATAGTTTACATGCTTGATTTTTGAAGGCCACACTAGTCCTCCAAGAAAATTCAGATAGCTTTTGCATGTCTTTTATCTAGAGAATCTGTAAGGGAATAAGACTCCAAATCACCAATATACTCCCTGAAGAGGACTAAAAATTTCAGTTTGAGATTGCTTTTGAGTCAGAAGGAGTCCTGTGGAGGAGTGTGATGCCACTTTTAATGCATACTCCAATAGATCTTCATTCATATCTCTTAATAACCTAATATTCTTAGTAAAGCTGATTTGTTTGCTCCATATTCAAAGAGCAATTTCAAAGTACTTTCTTCCTTAATATTTTCACTTAGTGTTTTCTGCAAATGACTTTAATGAACTTTTAATACTCGCAGCTTTCACAGTATCGGATGTAAATCCTTAAGTGTATTCAACATTTGAGTGACTATTAAATTAATAAACATACTGTTTTCTGTCCCCATGAGACTATGCTCATGTTAGAAAGTAACAAACTGTGTTTTTCTAGAATTAAAATAGAGACTTTTCTGTCTTGTTCCTATTTAAAGAGAAACAATGGGAGAAGGTGCACTGAGCTAGAGATGAGTGGCTGATACTCAATACTGACATTGGAAAAGGTAAGAATAAGACTATACCAACTAACTAGAGTTATCTAAAAGGAGGCAATCTCCACTAAGAAAATGCTTCCATAAGGTTCAGCTGTAGGACATTTTCTTAATTAATGATTGATGAGGAAGGCCCAGACCATTGTGCGTATTGTCATCCCTGGGCTGGTTGTCCTGAGTTCTATAAGAAAGCAGGCTGAGCAAGCCATGAGGAGCAAGCCAGTAAACAGCAGCCCTCCATGGCCTTTGCATCATTTCCTGCCTCCAGGTTCCTACCCTGCTTGAATTCCTGTCCTGACTTCCTTCAGTGATGGATTACGATGTGGAAGCGTAAACCAAATGAACCCTTTGTTCTCCAAGTCGCTTTGGTTATGGTATTTCATCACAGCAATAGAAACTTTGAGACAAAGACATAATCCTTTGCCCATTATCTTTGTTCCCATTTGCAGCCTGCAAACGGAATTAAAGACCATGTTTATGATGCATGCAGAATGTCATATAAATATGCAAATCTTAACATGGGTGTCACATTTGTGCCACTATCACACCTCACAATACACATGGACATTTCCTTAAGAACAGGCACTGTGCAGGCCATTATGATGGACGCTAGTTTGAACTGTAATGACACTGTCCATTCCATGGACAATAATGTCTATTATACAAACTCATACATACATGTACTCTCTAGAGAAAATGTTTGAATTTAAATACATCACTGAGTAGGGGATGAATGTTCTTCAGGAAGCTAGTGAATATAATCGAGTAAGACAGAGGGGTCCTAGTATGGTCTACTCATATGATTGAGAATCTGCATTATTTTAGACAAATAATAACTTGATTATAATATTCTACACAGAACAGTTTCTTTCTGGGGAATCGCATCTGTGAGGCAATTTGAGCAGACACTGATCAGATATCTGTCTACAGCAGGAGTGCAGTACGAAAGTCCCCCTTCCACGTACAAAAATCTTCCACATACGAAACGCCTGTGAGTGTGTCCCTTTGCAGCTCTTTCTCCGTGTTAATTATAACTTAGATTTAATTTTTCATCCATTCCTGTTTTCAGGCCTGGAACACCTTGACACCCTTTATCAGAAAGAGAAACAAAGGATTCTGGTTTGCATCATTCTGAACACTGAAAAACTACATAAAGCCTTTTAATTAATTCTTTCTGCGTCTCCCTCCATATGGGATGACTGCTAACTTGGTAACCTTGAGCATCGCTTAGTCACTTTTTCACGATCTCTCCTCATCCCTGGGGGTTTCAATGTCTGTCCTGTATACACATTAAGGTCACTTTTTTATTGTCAGCACTGCTTACACGACTTCTTCCTCAGGTTTCATGGTGAATAGTGATCATCTATTATATGCTAACTGATTATCTATTGGCTTTTCTGGGAGCTGCTGAAACTGTATACAAATGGTTTGAAAATGGTTTCAAACATAATGTTATAATCATAAACTGAGTTAATGCACTATTCCTCAATATAGGATCTGACTTAGTCCACTTGACTACTTATAAAGAATGTGTCTGGACAGTGACTCTAAGAACCTTTTTAAAAAAGCATATGAATCATACTCAATGATTTATTCACATATCTATTTAAAAAATTCCATTGGTCATGCTAAAAAAGGTTGCAAGCCCTTTGACTTAAGTATTTCTATAATGGCTGTTAAAATCAATTCTGGCATTAAAGTCTCCAAGAATGAACAATGCGTTGAGTGGAAAATTGATTACATGGTCAAAGAACAGTCCTTTGTGGCCTCGTTTGCTTTTGCGATTAGCACAGCTGTCATGGCTGTTGTAGGTGGTCCTCAAAACTTACAGGGAAAAAAATCTGTCCTTGACACTGAATGTTTGTCTATGGATTTGGAGGAAAGAATTTTTTTTTTTTTTTTTTGCTTATTAGCACCCACTGCTACAGATTTCAAATAGGAAACATACAAAGGGGACTGGTGTGTGAAGAATCCTTGCCAGAGTAATACAGTAATCATTCTGGGGTGATCTGTATCTTATTTTATGGGAAATACATTGTAAGGGGAGCTGTTCTAATTGTTGTAATAGTCACACTTCTAGCAATTTAAAATTCTTCTATAAAATTCTAGCTGATGAATAGTTATAGAATGTAGTAGTTAAAGGTGCTTTTTATATGCTACCACCAAAAGGAGGCTAAATGTTTTCTGTGGAAAGGGAGGAGCTGTCTCATCAACACACTGATCTCATGCACTTGACCTTGAGTCCCAGCCCATCAGTGTGTGATAGGTGCTTATTGAAGTGTGTTATTGATTTATCTTAGATTTATTTACTTCCTTATTTTGTATTTTCCTTTCAAATAAATGGGCTTCTAGAGTTCCGGAACATTGATCTGCTTTACCTGCTTTGAACACTGCTTAGAAAAGTTATATACTGTGATGGTTAGTCGTCATTGTCAGCTGGATGGGGTTTAGAATCACACCTGTGGTCATGCCTATGTGTATGTTTCCAGGAAGGTTTAATGGAACAGAGGAGCCCTGCTCTGAATGTGAGTGTTATCATTCCATGGTGGAAGGGGTCTGGAATATCTGAGTTAAAAGGAGAAAGCATATTGGGGACCATTGACACCTCTCTGCTTCCTTACTCCTGATCCAGTATGTGCAGATGCCCCATGACTTCCCCACCATGTATGTGCTAGAATCTCAAATTTCAAGCCAAAATAAACTCTTCTTTTCTTGAGTTGCTTTTGTCATAGTAACAAGAAAAGCAACGAGTAACACACACATGTCAGTCTTCCTCGCTTCTCAGACTAGCAGCAAAAGCACAATTTTTTCACTTCTCCTCCTCATGCCTACTGTTTTAGTTTCCCATGTGGAAGAAACAAATGACTGTCTGCTTATTGGCACACAACAACATAAGCTTATCATCGTATAACCCAGAAGAGTGGACATTTGCCTTGTGTCTCATTGAGGCACAGTGACGTCCTGGTGGAACTTTGTTCTTCTTTCTTGAGGTGCTGTGGAGAATTTTTTTTTCTCACCTCTTCCAGATTCCATAGGTCACCTGAATTCACTGGCTTGTGACCTTCTCCATCTTCAAAGCCAGCAATGGCCTGTCGTCGTTCTCACACTACATCATCCTGACACTGCTTTCCCTGATACCATTTTTCACTTTTGAAAACTCTTGCGATTACATTGGTTCTGCTTGTATGATCCAGGATTAGATTACACTTGTGTTTCAATTTCGGCCAATTAGAAGGCTTAATTTCACCTGAAGTCTTAATTCTCCTTTGCAGAGTAAGAACAGATACATAGGTTCCAGAGACTGAGGTGTAGACACCTTTGTATGCTACTTATATGATTGCTGTGACATGTGTCCACTTAAAATAAACAGCAGGCATCCAGATTATTTTTATTAACTGTGCTATTACAATTGTGCCTTTAGACGAGAAATCATATCTCTGAAGAATTTCTATGCCCTTCCCATTATGCTAGCAGCAACTGATGTTTCTAGTTGCAATAGAGATTTCTAATCAGAAATTTGTGATTAAAATCTGAGGGCTTCATATATATGCATCTTTGGATCTTGAAGTTTTATGTTAGCTATTTTGGAAAATGATGTTTTCTTTCCAAAGAAGTCATGAGCAAAAAGTACATACTTGTTAGATATATTCATACTTATCTCTGCAACTACTTACCATTTTTCTTGAATAATAATTTTGTTTTTTTCCTTTCTCTTACAAAAACTAGAACAATTTTCAACAGTTTTAATCTTGTGTTAATATTTATGAGCATTCAACTCAAGGTCTACCAACATCTCCTTGGTGCTTCAGAGGTTAATATGAAGTTTCAATATTCTATGTCTTCCTATGTTTGACTGAGTACTGGTGATGAATAAATTACTAGTATTTTTCAGTAAGAATTTTTCTACTTCTACAGCTTTAAATCCCATAGAGAGCGCAGCTATCTTGCATAGCTTGAGCTGGAATTTTCGGGTATGTTTTAAAACCACTTCCTGTCAGTTCCATTTCTTTTTGTTTGACTTCATATTTTTCTTTTGGCACAGAACTTTTTCTAAACTTTCTTAAATATCATTTGCTTTTTATGTCAAAGATGTTTTGTGATGTCACAATAAAATATGAGGGCATAAGCTTGTTGGACAGTTAGTATCTTTTCCTACTAGTGGTGGTCCAGGAAATTCCCTGTTCTTTTCTACCTGACGATTGAGTCTAGCATTTAGAACGTTCCCATGTTAAAGGGGAATTACAGACAATGGTCATTCTAGGAGTCCAAGGCTTGTCAAGGTTTCATTCTTCACATGCTTGGCATTTTTATGCTGAGAGGTTCATCAGCACTCTTTTTTTTTTTTTTAAATTTTATTTTACAATATCATTCAGTTCTACCTAATAGCTACAGATTCCCTTGTTCTCCCCATTCCTGCCCCCCTCCCCTTCCCCCCTCCCCTTCCCCCCATTCCCACCTCCTCAATGGCAAAGCCTCCCCTGAGGACTGAGATCAACCTGATAGACTCAGTCCAGGCAGGTCCAGTCCCCTCCTCCCAGATTGAGCCAAGCATCCCTGCATAAATCCCAGGTTTCAAACAGCTAACTCATGCAATGAGCACAGGACCCGGTCCCACTGCCTAGATGCCTCCCAAACAGATCAAGCCAATCAACTGTCTCACCTATTCAGAGGGCCTGATCCAACTGGGGGCCCCTCAGCCTTTGGTTCATAGTTCATGTGTTTCCATTCGTTTGACTGTTTGTCCCTGTGTTTTATCCAACCTTGGTTTCAACAATTCTCACTCATATAAACCCTCCTCTTTCTCGCTAATTAGATTCCTGGTGCTCCACCCGGGGCCTAGCATGGATGTCTGCATCTAGACTCCTCAGTCCTTGGATGGGGTTTCTGGCACAACTATTAGGGTGTTTGGCCATCCCATCACCAGAGTAGGTCAGTCCTGGCTGTCTCTTGGCCATTGCCAGCAGTCTTTTGTGGGGGTATCTTTGTGGATTTCTGTGGGCCTCTTTAACACT